GCAAAATAGTAATTTCAATGAGGATGCGGTCAAGCAATCTATTAATACAGTTCGGTTAGTTTATTCATATTATTCCTTATTGCAGCGAAAGCTTGAAATTGTCTCAAAGGAAAAGGATGAATTGGGCAAAGAAAATCAAGCTCTTTTGAGGCAGTTGGAAGACATTAAACAAGGTAGCCTAGTATTCTTCATTATTATGAATGAATCTGTGGAATTCTTGTTTGTTTTTAGATGTTGTCGATGGTGTTTGGACTTCAAATGATAAATTTTCATTTTGTTTTTAAGTGAATGTTTTCGGGAAAAGGTCCACTGGAGATTCAACTGGTGAGCAGACCATAGAAGAAAAGGACACTAAAATTCAGGTTGATTCATCACTTGCTGCTTGTATTCACCAGTTCCTTTCAATTTACATTTGTTTTTTAAATTTTTGCTCAGATACTTGAGAAACATCTGGAGCGGCTGAGAGAAGAACTAAAAAGAGAGAAGGAAGATAGTCGTACAGAGAAAAGCAGACGGTTGAAAATTGAGAAGGCAATAAAGGATTCTTATACTATCGTTGAGCAGGTTTCATAATCCCCTTTTTTGCATTTGTTTCATCTCTAGAATTTCAATAATACCTTTAAACTTTAACAGACGTTCAAAAATGGAAACAGCTAATACTTTGTTTCAAAAATATTGTTGAACTTTTAAAAGGGTTTCAAAAATACTGTTTAATTTTCAAAGTGTTTAAAAAATATCCTTGAGTTTTCAAAAGTTTCATTGATGCCCTTAAACCTTTAAAAACTTCAAAAGTACTTTTAAATTTTTTTAAAAAAATTCAAAAATACATTTACCGTTAATATCACGTTTAAAAATACTCATGAACTTTCAAAAGTAGATTAAAAAGTTTGGAGATAATCTATGAGGTGTCGATATCGTCCATACATTGATGCTAAGAATTTTTTTGAACTTTTTTTTTTTTTTTGTAAAGGTAAGTGGTGTTAATTCTACTTTTAAAATTTGATGTGTATTTTTTAAACACAGTACTAAGAGTTAAAAGGATGATATTTTTTAACTTTTTTAAAAAGGTAAAGGTATTAATGAGACTTTTTAAAGTTCAGGGGTATTTATTAAAAACTTAAGCATATTTTTTAAACAAACTACTAACGATTTCCATCCAAAACTAACGGTAAGGGTATTTCTTGCAATTTTTTGAAAGTTAAGGATATTATTGAAACTTTTGAAAGTTTAGGGGTATTCTTAAGAAAAAGTTCAAACTTTTGAGGTATTTTTATTAGTTTAGCCCAATTTGAATCATCAAATTCTTTTTGACAAAAGGTAATTTAGCTTCGCGAGTTTTGATAACAGGCCATCTTCAATAGAACATCGTGCCATCTGGCATATATTTGTGATATGGATTGTGGATCTTATGATGGAGTATCTGTGAATCTTTTTATTTATTTTTTCTCGTGAATCAATTCTAGCTTGATGTCAGATAGTGTCCTTCGGGGTCAGAGTTGTGGCAAAGTTCTGAATTGGCAGTGCCATAATAAACTCTTGGCCTACTTCAGTAAGAAATGAAAAATTTGAACCTGACTCGTTTTGAACTTTGAAGCCACCTGCCTAATAATTAAGTTTATGATGAGTATGTTTTTAAAATTTTTCCAAGATTTAGGACTTTGGGATTTAACTTGTCTGCCTTCCACAATACAATTGTCTTTATAAAGAACCAGAAACGAGAGCATGGTTATGCTTCTTCCTTTAATATAACTCTTTGAGTTGGAAAGATTCTGCAAATAATCTTGTCAACGGATCTCTTGGAAGTTAAATCAAACTTGCTTTGTCATTTTTCCTGTTTCCCGTGCATCCTAATAGGTCTGTCTTTACCTTCTTTTTATATAGGAAAAATCAAAGATCTTAAATGATTTGGAGAAGCATAAGGGAAACTTGAAGCAAGCTTCTGATGAACTTGAGAAGCTTAGACAATCTAAAAGCAATCTTTCGGAGGTAATGACTTGCTTATTCTAAATTTTGGTATATCATGCTTTGATCCCTTCCTGGGTTAACGTTGTTGGAATTTTTATATTGATTTGTTGAGATGTGTTGAATTAAGCTGATATGCCTCGAGAATCAATGTGAGTAGATAGATTGGTAAATTTCTACCAAAGCTTTCAATGAGATTCTTCTCTGGTTTCTTTTGAAACAATTAGCAAAAAGAGAAAATCTTGCATGGCACTCTGGGCTTTAGAATTATTATGAATTTGACAAAAGTTTTCATTCATTTTTTCTCTCTTTTAGCGTACCAACTGTTTAAATATTTTTGTTGATTGTTTACATGTGTGATTGTTTGTCATAGCAGGATGCTTTACCTCAGCCACTTTCAGGGATTGGCTTGGACGATCTTGCTTCTACCTACGTTTTAGCTGCTGAGAATTTTGAGAAGACTGTGCAGTCAGTTTTGACTGATCTTGGAGCTCAGAATGCTACTTCAGAGGTTTCTTTGGTCACAGATGCTTTGGTACAAAGTAGTACAGGTGCATTAGCGTAACATCTAATTTTTACGCTGTAACAGTTACAATTACTAGTTTTGCTTCTTCCCCATTTACGTGATATGAAAGCTCTAAATTTTGCAGGTCCTGATGTTCCTCTCCAAACGCCTGATGTTGCAGTGCCTGTGGCTCCTGTAACAACCAACTTTCCTGTCAAAATCCTAGAAGAACGGGAAAAGAAAGGTCAATTATCCAAGGCAAAAGTAGAAACGCGTAAAGCAGGGCGAAAGTTGGTTCGACCTCGTCTTGGAAAACCAGGAGGGTCTCTGGGTGATATAGACATGTCAACATCAGAATTACCAAACAGTGAAAGCAAGCGTGCAACTTCTGGAAAATCAGAAACTGAAAGTGAATCTACTACATCAGCCCATCAGCTGGCTCGCAAGCGTGTAGCGACAGCTTCTGAATTGCATGAACATGCAGTTATCCCTGGGGAGAGCATTACTGAAATGGCAGCTCCTGTCATGAAGAAGGCTAAAGGGTCAGATACCTTGGCTGATGACGTTGGTGGACCATCTTCTACCTCTCTGGAAAGTCTCAAAACTCAGTCGCCCTTGGAAGAAGTTCCTGATGTTTGTGAGTTTCCTCATGGTTCAAGTGAGGATGCAGCTGATGTTGAAAAAGAGGTTGAAATTGCAGGGGAGAAGGCTGATAGGCCAAAAGAACTATCATCTGATGGATCTATCAGCCATGAGGAGATACACACTGACAGGATGGATGAAAATCTGGATAAGCAGATTGTAGCGGTGTCAGATGATGGGTTAAAAGATCAAGCTGAACCAGACAACTGGCATCTAACTTCAGAGATTGGAAGCGAGAGAGAGGAAGGTGAGGTGGCCCCTGAAGTTATGGAACTGGAGGGTGCCAATAATGTTGAAAGCATTGAAATAGGGGACGATCATATTGAGCCAGTTGCAACGCCTGATGCCTCCCCATCTAGAGTTGATGATGATGCGATGGCTGTCACAGACATGGAGATTGGCGAGATAAACTCCCCTGAGATTCAAAATGAAGAAAAGAATGATGAGGGTGATGCAGCTGAGGAAACTTCCGAAATTTTAGATAAGCCAACTGATAGTAACCAGATTGATATGGAGAGTGATCAGGCTGTTGAAACCACCTCAGTAGCTACCGAGAACGTTTCGAGTACGCCGCCAGAAATAAATGATTCGAAACAAGGTAGCCCCATTGTTGCTAAACGGTCGTCTCCTGTCGGTAGTAGCACGTCTACTACAATAAATTTGCAAGAGCGAGCCAAGGAAAGAGCTATGCTGAGACAGGCTGGAGTTGTTTCTTCATTGGATAGACGCCCTGTGAGAGGATTGCGTGGCCGGGGTGGTCGGATAGAGCGAGGTGGCCGTGGTCAACGATCTGGACGGGGACCACCTGGGGAATCAGGTAGGAGTTAAGACTGCAATGCTAGATGATTGTATAGGAGCGAGCCAAGGTTTCAATTAGATTTCTATGTCTAAGCCCGTTTTTTTCTCTTTTGACAAATATCATTTAATTGTGTTTATATCACCTGCTTATGAAACGAACCGTTTATATAATTGCCATATCTTAAAGCATTATACTTGAAGCAGAGGTTTTAACTTGCAATTTTAAAATGCTATCTGTGCTGCAGCTAATCAAATTTTGTTTCAAGTTAGATGTATTTTTTACTTTGCTTTTAGATTAGTGTTTCTTGTGCATGAAAATAATTAATTTTCGAACATGTTAATTTATTTACGATTATGCAGAGAGCTGAGTAAATTACAATTGATAAAGTTATTTGATTCATCTTCCACATGAAATTTATCATTTCAACTTCAAATTAAATTTTAATTTTCATGTCAATGCTTAATGTCTTATAAAATATGTTAATACCAATTTGACCTATCAAACTAATTGTTCCCAATATGAGCATATCCTAGAGGGAGTTGTAATAATTTCCCAAATTTTGCTGTGTAAAGTACTTATTGTATAATAATTTGATGGTTTTCTTATTTATAGCAAAGTCACACAAAGAACACCCATATCACTTATGAATCATTCTTTTGACACAAAACCTACTTTGCATTAACCTTAGGAAGTGTTCATTGGAACATATAAATTAAAGATGTGGGATAATTTCTAGTTGATGGCCAAAATTTATCCCAAACCGACTTATCCATGCTAATTTTGAGGAAATTAAGTACACCATTAAAACTTAACCTACAAAAGATCATATAGTTATAGTTACGTGGAAAATCACTATTTATTAAAATTCATAGTTTTCAAAACCGTTTATAAGGTTAACTTTGACATATTAACTACCTTCATTTTTTACTCTTTCCCCTCCCTTGTTTCATTGTTCCCCATCTACCTCTTCACCTATACCGGGACATGTTGTCAAAATTGAGCGACAAGTAATTTTGCATAATTGATTTTATATGAAACCCGAACATGTTCTTTATCCTTGCCATTGGAATATTTCCCGTGATTTCGCGGTCAAAACCCCAAAAAGTCGGACAAAACAAATCCTTATTATAAGCGGTGAAAATAAAAAACGGATAAAAGAAAACTCATTTGGCGGTCAAAGTTGGAGCTCGGCCTGCGTCTCCGGCCGGACCAATCTTCACGATACGTATTCTTTAGGGTTTGCCACTCTGGTCTACTCTGGTGCTTCTTTCAATTTCTTCAGCGTCTTGGATAAAAGAAATGGCTAATCAATTGCACGGTTACAGCTCTGTCTACGGTGCGGGACCTGCCACTTCAACTGCCACTGCCACTGCCACTGCCACTGCCACTACACCTCTTCCCGCCGCATACTCGTCTTCCCGCTCCCTCTCCAACATCGTCTCCGGCCGTTACCTCGTGTCAGACTCGCTGGCCTCCGGTCTCTCCATTAAGCACTCTTTTATTGATCGTGGTACCACCATGTATTCGACCCAGAATGAAGCCCTTAGGTTATCCGCCGCCGACATTGTCCCAAGAACGTCGCATTCGGTCTCTCAACGTTCTTCTGACGGTAAGTTTTATTCGCTGTCTACTTGAATCTCTTGGAAAATCACTTTAGAAAATGACGTAAAATAATTAGTTGAGTACTTGGACATTAACTTAAAGTTTCACGAAAATGAGGCCGAATGAATTTGTTCACTTCTGCTTTCAGAAAACATCACTGATGGGATACTTACATGTTTTGATTCTTTTTCCTGCTTTCGCATGACCACCAATTGGCATTCGTGATCATGTGGCTTTGGTTTGGCTTCAGTGCTTCCATTCGTGCTGTTCGCTGTCTTTTTCTTTATTATATATGGGTGTTTATGTATTTTGTTATTAGTATTTTTCTTGTTTTTCTTTTCTTGTGGAACTTTACATATGATTTGTGGCCTAAATTTCCATGATGTTCGAGTCATTTTATTTTCTTCCATATCTTCGGCATATTGGACGAACAACAACCCAAACAATAGTTCAGTACCAAAACGGAGAAGATAGTAGTACTTATTCTCTTACTTTCTCTCTGTCATGGCTAGCTGGATTTCCATATGGTTTTCGTTGCAAAGTATTTTATATAGAAGCCATTTTCTTCTCTGGAGACTGGAACTATGGTATTATAAGTCTCAAGTGATTCATGCACGCCCCCTATGTCGTATGCATAATTTTATGTATGGGGTTCGACGTAATGGTTTGTTTTCATCCTGCTGCTGTACAACTAAGTTGCACCATAGCAGCATGAAGCAGCCTTAAATTGATAAGATCTTTCACGATTTTTATGTTTAATTCAAGTGTCAAAGGCCTTAAATTCTATGTGACTTCATCCAGACTGTTTATTTTCCTGTATATATTTTGAAAATGTTATATTTTACATAATCTACTATATTTAATTTCTAAATCTATACAGCCGAGATAGTAGTGCTAGAAATACTTATATAGTAACGTACATGTTTGTCTTTCTTGTACATATTTGTCTATTATGTACAATAGTGCTCTACGATCAGACTGTTTTGGGTTCCTATAACACTTTGGGGCAAAGTGAAGCCTGGTATACTTCAAATTCTTTAGCCAAGCGTCCTAGATTTGAAAGTACAAGCAATTTGCATGTATATCCACAGAGGCCAGGAGAGAAGGACTGTGCCCACTATATGCTCACAAGAACCTGTAAATTTGGAGATAGCTGCAAGTTTGACCATCCTATTTGGGTTCCTGAAGGTGGAATCCCAGATTGGAAAGAGGTGACTGTTTTCTGCTATCTTTCATACCTATAAAGATGAATTATGATCGTCAAAGAAACAAATACTTTATAGGCATATACATTAAAAGGTTTATCACATATGCTTAAAATTAAGAGTGAGTGATCTGGGGTTTGGTGTTAGTAATTTGAATGATATCTTGATTTTGTGCTGTATTCGATGACACCTTTTCTCTATGCTGTGTAGAAATATCATTTTTTTAAGCGGTTGATCTTTCCTTTTTGCTAGCTGAACTTATGATTTGGAAAATATATTCATGTAAATTATGATGCAGTGCTAGCTTTCTATTCATTGAATTGATGTGGGGGCAATGCAGTGAATTGAATATTTCAATTAATTCTTGAATTTGTAGTTCTTGAGTTGTATTTGGATAATTATTGGAAGCCATAATCCATGTACTTCTTTATGACTAGGAATACAGTTTAGGGGATTTTATTAGGTAGTCAGGTGTGATTAGCTTGAGTTTGAATTATTTTGAGATTTGGACTTATTACTCAGAAAATATAGATTTTTCATTAAGTTCTATGTTGAGAATTATTGTAAATTAGGAATATTGTAAAAAAAAAAAAAAAATTGAAAGTTCAAGTTATTCATGCTTTATTTATTTTTTCCCTTCAATTCTCCTTTTCTATTATCTAGGGGATTCAACATTATCGATATAATGCGTGGTTTATCCATTCATTTTATATTCTTTCCTTTTGATATATATATATAGATTGAAAGGAAACAATTTCATTGATGAATGGAGGATTTAATAGACTCTCAAACACCAAAAGATAAATTACATGAAGGACCTCTTAATAGAAATTTAAGAAGAAAGACTATAATTGTTAAACTGTCTAATATTTATATTAGACTTCCTATAGTTATACCTCCCTAGTTGTAAATTAGGAAGGTTTTTTTATAAACACCATGGGTGATACATCCCTTTTGTAAATTTTAATCATCAATGAAATTGTCTCTTATCAAAAACAAAAAAAGAAAAAAAAGAAAACTTGGACACTCCAAAATTTGACACGTATTGGACATTTCAACATGCCGATGTTGAGTATGTATTGGACACTGACACTCTTAATGCTTGTTGGACACGTATTGGAACACTTATTAGCTCAAGATGTGTTAGATAGTAGTTGTACAAAATCAATGTTATTCTATCATTGGTTAGAAAAATATTGAACACTTAGACTTTAAATAAATTTTGAAAGTGAATTGCTAACTTATTTATTTAAGCATATAAATTCATAAACTTATTGTCTTTGAATTTTCGTCTGGTATAAAAGTGAGATATATTGAAAAATGTATATTTTAACATGCGTGCCCTTGTCATATTTGTGTTATAGAATTTTAAAAATTGACATGTCACCATTTTCGTGTCGTGTCGTATTTGTGTCTTGCATCCACATCGTGTTTCTTAGCTTCAAGATATCCGAACAACTGACAAAAAGAAGCCTAAAATCCTTCAATTAAACAAAGAAAACTGAAGCATGAAGAAACAAGACTCCGAAACTCTTTGAGAGCTTGCTAACGGAAGCTGAACTGAAGGAACTGTTAGGAACCATTGGAAGGCTATTTTATCTATGTTATTCTTCTTTTCTAAGTTTTGAATGTTTGTTATCGGGGATGACTCAGTTACTGGTTTTAGGCTTGATTGTGGGATCCCATAATCTTTATTAAAGTTTGCTTCAGTGATTTCTATTGTCTTGTAGTTGGGACAATGTGTCGTACATCTTTAGCGTCTTTGTGCTCTGCCCAATTTCGTATTTCCAACTTTTATTTTTCTACGTTTTGCTGAATGAGTTTCAATGACGTATATGTGGACTCCCAATACTTATAGGGCGTTTTCATGAAACTCCAATCTTTTATCCATTTCACACCCTCATGTTCCTCGTTCTTTCTCTTAATCGCAAAAGGTTAGGATCTCCAAATCCTCTACGTTTATCTAGTTAGGGCTTCATTGGTATGTCATATGTAAATGTGCTTAGGGTATTTGGATCATGCTTCATGGGGTTGCCATTTTGCGCACTTGATATGGGATAGAGGTGCACAATAGATCTTATCCTTCGATGATGGAGGTGCTGTTTCACACTATTTTTGGGGCGAGGGGGGTCTTTTTGATATGCAGCTTTCTTTTCTATTTTGTGGAATATCTAGCTTTAGAGGAATTGAAGAATTTTTGGATGGCTTGAACACCTAGTTAGATTTCTGCATGGGACACCATTTTGGTGCCAAGTTTTGTCCTTTGCCAAGAATGAAATGAGTTGCACAATTGTTCCTAATAATAGATATGGTTAACGTTTCTAAGTATCTGTTTTCCAAATTCTTTTGCGCTTGTAGTCTTAAGGTAGCTTGTGCTTCTAATACCATTTTATATTGCTTTCTTTTCTATTTTGTGGAATATCTAGCTTTAGAGGAATTGAAGAATTTTTGGATGGCTTGAACACCTAGTTAGATTTCTGCATGGGACACCATTTTGGTGCCAAGTTTTGTCCTTTGCCAAGAATGAAATGAGTTGCACAATTGTTCCTAATAATAGATATGGTTAACGTTTCTAAGTATCTGTTTTCCAAATTCTTTTGCGCTTGTAGTCTTAAGGTAGCTTGTGCTTCTAATACCATTTTATATTGCTTTCTTTTCTATTTTGTGGAATATCTAGCTTTAGAGGAATTGAAGAATTTTTGGATGGCTTGAACACCTAGTTAGATTTCTGCATGGGACACCATTTTGGTGCCAAGTTTTGTCCTTTGCCAAGAATGAAATGAGTTGCACAATTGTTCCTAATAATAGATATGGTTAACGTTTCTAAGTATCTGTTTTCCAAATTCTTTTGCGCTTGTAGTCTTAAGGTAGCTTGTGCTTCTAATACCATTTTATATTGCTTTCTTTTCTATTTTGTGGAATATCTAGCTTTAGAGGAATTGAAGAATTTTTGGATGGCTTGAACACCTAGTTAGATTTCTGCATGGGACACCATTTTGGTGCCAAGTTTTGTCCTTTGCCAAGAATGAAATGAGTTGCACAATTGTTCCTAATAATAGATATGGTTAACGTTTCTAAGTATCTGTTTTCCAAATTCTTTTGCGCTTGTAGTCTTAAGGTAGCTTGTGCTTCTAATACCATTTTATATTGCTTTCTTTTCTATTTTGTGGAATATCTAGCTTTAGAGGAATTGAAGAATTTTTGGATGGCTTGAACACCTAGTTAGATTTCTGCATGGGACACCATTTTGGTGCCAAGTTTTGTCCTTTGCCAAGAATGAAATGAGTTGCACAATTGTTCCTAATAATAGATATGGTTAACGTTTCTAAGTATCTGTTTTCCAAATTCTTTTGCGCTTGTAGTCTTAAGGTAGCTTGTGCTTCTAATACCATTTTATATTGCTTTCTTTTCTATTTTGTGGAATATCTAGCTTTAGAGGAATTGAAGAATTTTTGGATGGCTTGAACACCTAGTTAGATTTCTGCATGGGACACCATTTTGGTGCCAAGTTTTGTCCTTTGCCAAGAATGAAATGAGTTGCACAATTGTTCCTAATAATAGATATGGTTAACGTTTCTAAGTATCTGTTTTCCAAATTCTTTTGCGCTTGTAGTCTTAAGGTAGCTTGTGCTTCTAATACCATTTTATATTGCTTTCTCCAATGGCTGTTTATCTCATCTATAATTTATTTAGGTCCCACAAATAACTAGTAGTGAAGATCTCCCAGAAAGACTTGGGGAGCCAGATTGTCCAGTGAGTTCTACTTTAAATATTTTATCCTTCACATCTTTTTATTTATTTATTATTTTTTTTTTTTGAAGTAATATGCACTTATATTTCTTACATTACTTCACGACCTTTTTGATTCCTGCAGTACTTTTTGAAAACTCAACGATGTAAATTTGGTTCAAGGTGCAAGTTCAATCACCCTAAAGATACGTCTGAATCTGTGGTAAGTTGTATGAACCTGATGTCTCCAAGCTTTATTCTTGTTTTGGGTACCTTTTTTTTTATTTCCTTTGTTGATATGTATTATGTTTTTACTATTTTCAGGGTGCTGAAAAATCTGATGTTTCATCCTTACCTGAGAGACCATCTGAGCCACTGTGTGCAGTAATATACACATACACACACATGCACACACATGTTCTTTACTAATATTTTAGGCGTACAAGTCGGGTATAGACATATTGTTTGATTTCTTCCCTTGCAGTTCTATGTTAAGACCGGAAATTGCAAATTTCGTGTTAACTGCAAGTTCCATCACCCAAAAGATATCCAAATTTTATCTGGGGAAGTTAATGGAAATAGCGAACAAACTTTGATCGAAGCTAATACAGAAGGAAGAATTGGAGACTTCAAGCTTGTTAAGCCTCCTGTTTCATTTTCTCCGGCACTAATACACAATTCTAAAGGACTTCCAATTAGACCGGTAATAAATTGGATTAAAATTGTAGAAGTTTAAATATTTATTTTCTTGTATCCCAGAGGATGTCAGTGTTTTTAATACTCTATTTCTTTTGTGTTGCCAGTTACTTCTCTTTCTGGAAATTATGGTTCAAGTCTTAATGGAAAATTCCTTCCTTAGTTTTGAATTGTTTTGCATTAGACAAGATCTAAATTTTACCAAACAACTTTCTTGTAACAGGGTGAAATGGATTGTCCATTCTACTTGAAAACGGGCAGGTATATGAGCACTAACAACTTATTTATGATAGTTCTGCTTAAGAAAATAATGATGAGTCTTATGTTTATTGGTTGTTACGTATCAGTTGCAAGTATGGTACCACTTGCCGCTACAGTCACCCTGACAGAAATGGTATGCGTGTAATCTTCTCATTTGCAGTTTTGAAACTTTGTAAGGTATGTAATGATCATTTAAAATATGCTTGGAAATTTTGGCAGCAATCAATCCATCTACTCCAGCAATGGTCTCAGCTGCTAATATGAATATTGGAATTTCTAATCCTTCTAATGCTATTTATCAAGCTGTTGATCCCAGATTGATTCAGCCACTGGTAAGTCCGTCTTAGTCTTGATGGACAGTGTTGATTTTATGGCCTTTGGCATAGTTATCAACTTTCTACTCAAGCGGCCCCTTGTTTTTACTTCTAAAAATTCCCAATTTGATGGTTGTGTTGTCTGATGTCATTTGGCCTTAATTTTCTAGATTCGTGTTCTTTTTTTGATAGGCTAGTTTCTGCTTGGATCCTTTTTGGGGCTGTTGTTTTTGGAGACATGTCTTTTGTTGGCTTTTTGGTTGGTCCGGTTGTGTTCATTCATTTTTCTCAATGAAAATTATAGTTTTTCAATTAGAAAGAAAGTTGATGTTCCATTAGGGTCTTATGCTAGCTTTTTTTTCACTGCAAGTTCATTTATTTATTGTTTGTTAATTAAACATGCATTTATGCGGTCAAGCCCTTGATTTCAGAGTAATGGTTTGATTTTAGTCTTTGAAAATAGAGAAAATAGAGAAAATATTTGTCCCTTGTCTAAGAACGTAAGCATGCAATTTTTTAATACTTCGTTACTATAACATCCTGTTTGAACTATTGAAGTTTATGAATCCTCTTGTAGTGAATAACTAACTCAAACTATTTTTCTTATGTTGCAGTTGGGATCCAGCTCAAGTATTTACCCTCGAAGACCTGGGCAGATAGAATGTGACGTGAGTATCTCTTCGCATCCCTCCCCTTCTCCAATAGGATTTTGGAGTTATGATATGATGATAGTATGTTGATGGCTGTCCCCCTCTCCTGATAGGTTCTTTAGGGAATCATGATGTTATGTTAGTATGAATCTCGAGGTGTTTACTATCCTTTGTAATTTTGGATTGTAGTTCGCTCTCTAATAAATAGAGGTCTCTTCCATTTATTTTAGAACAATTTGATTCATACTAAAGATTGGGGTTGAGACTTTTTGGAGGAAACTCTCCTTGGTCACTCTTAGGCTACACCAATTTGGTATCTGAGCCACTGCTCAGGCCAAAGTTGATTGTCACCAATGGAAAATCAAGAAACTCTTGACAATGTCACTCTCAAGAGGGAGCACACCTAATTACAAGGGGGAACCTTTTAGAGAGAAAATTTTCAAGAGTTGTCCAAGAATGAAGTACTACAATGTTAGGAGTACATTCTAGGACAAAAGCTTCTCTCTCGAATATGGAACTCGAAAAAGAAGGTGGAAGCCTATTCAAAAACACAATTTCTGCATCAATCAACAAGAAACGGATGATTGAACGGAAGAGCTTTGAGATATAATTTTTTACGGAACCAAACGGTTTTTTAGATGAGTTGGTGGTGAAATAATGCGGGATGTTTATGAGTGGGTTGTTCAATGAGAATCTGCAGGGACGACCACTGTGTTTATGTTCAGAACGATGAGTGGATTGGACGGTAGGCTGTGATTAGAAGAGAAGATGAAGCAATGGAGAAAGAATGGAAAGAGAAATCATTTTCTTTTATTTTTGTAATTTGAAAATCCATATTAGCGTTAAAAACGGAAAAAAAAAAATTGCACCATATTAGCGTTAACAATATGACTACAATATTTGGTGCTGAAAATGTTCTTACTTAACGTCATTGCTTGGGGTCTTATGATTATTTTATATTTTAGTATCTGGATTGGGTGCATTTCCTTCGTATGTTTGTTCTTTCCATTGTATTTGTTGCTTTTTTAAATTTGATACTTCTCAATGTAATTTTTCAATTGAATGAAAATGTCTATTTCAGGAAAAATGTTACATTTTTTATATTTTAGTTTTCTTGTTTGACTTATTTATACTTGATATATATAGATTCTTGTTTCACTTGTTAACTCAAATTTGTTGATTCAACATTACGTATTATTAAAAGGCACTCAATGTCATAAAAAAGTGCAAAAAAAATGGCACTCAGGTAATTATTTTTTTTTTCATTACTATACTTCGTATGTTATCTGTTACCTGGAGAAATGGCAGGTATTGGTGTTATTGTTATTAATTTTAGTTGTAAGTTTATTGTTTTGTTGATATGTTCTTTCGTTCCTAAATATTTGTTTTTGTAGTATTATATGAAGACTGGGGACTGTAAATTTGGGGAACGATGCAAATTTCACCACCCTATTGATCGGTCAGCACCAATGCAGGCTTCTCAACATAATGTGAAACTAACACTTGCTGGACTGCCAAGGAGGGAGGTATATATATCTAAATTAGCTGATTGTTTTTCTTATTTATTTGAAGAGAATTACATGTCAGTTTTATAAAAACAAGTTCTCTACTAGAATATTAGACAAAATCCTTTCATTGCCTCTTCTACGCCGTGGTGTTGTAAATGTTAATACAGTTATCCTCCTGATTTGTTTGTTAGTCTATGAATAAATTATTCTCTGAAAATAATGCTTCTGAGTTATTGCCTCAGAAGCACTCTTTTGGAACACACTCGTGATTTTCTCCTTATAGGACGAGCTCTCTTCTCCTGTTATGGACATTTTTCACTGTTGGGTATGTGAAAAAAAAAAAAAAAAAATGAACGAAAGGATTATTTATCACAAGATGACTTTCTACATTGAAAGTTATTTACCTGTTGAGTCATCTTATCTGGTTGAGATTATTTTATATGTAAACCAAGAGTATCTGAAATAATCCTTTTACTTGACAGGATGCCATAATTTGTCCATATTATCTCAAAACTGGTACCTGCAAGTATGGGTCTACTTGCAAATTTGACCACCCACCTCCTGGAGAAGTGATGGCAATGGTAGCAGTACAACTTGTTCCAGGGAAAGAAGGTGAAGAACGGATAGATGAACCAACCAGTTGATGAACAGAAGTATAATGTCGTCTTTCTCAACCATTGTAGCTTGTTTAAATAAACTGAAGTTGTGATTTCATAGTCAGTCCTGCATCAAATTTATTCCTTGTATTTGACAGACCAATACTTGTTATTCCCTCTCTACCCTTCTGTAATATCAATGCGCGCCTATGACTTTGACACGTGAATGTTTTGTTGGTTGTGTCCTATCTTCTTTCTTTACCCTTTTGTTTCATAATCTAAGGTTGGGAGATTCTTCTCAGCCTAAAACACCTTAAAAGAAATAAGCCCCTCAATGGATCATTCGAGGGACCTAATCACATTTGGTAATTACACAAAATTTTAAAATATTTATAAAACAATGACTTAATTTTAGGCTTGACGGGAACAAATCTTTTAAGTTAATTTTTTTTAAAATCTTTAAATATAATTTTAATGTTTTAACGCAACAAAAGTATAAAAATAAAAAAATATAAATAAATAAATACACATTAATTAACTCCTCGTATCTGGTTAAATAATTTGAGACTAAACACTCCATTGTCTCAAATGCCCTTAATGGTTTCAAGTTTTATTATTTTTTTAAAAAAAAACCAAATATATGTGACTGAATTGTCAACGAAGTATTTCGTGTATACATTCGACAGAACCGGTGGGGTTCCATTGTAGTTTATGGAGAAGCTTGGAAGCTCCGCTGTCCTTGGGCGGGGGTCAGTTTCTCTCTAGAATGACGAAGCTATCAGCTATATAGGATGAAGAATGGATTCGCTCGAGTGTATCGAAAGTAGTAGACAGCAGGTATGTACTCCTGTAAGAATGAAAAGGAAAATTAGATCCAAGAAATATGAATTCGTTGGTTGGGGATCAAGACCACTTATTGAATTTCTTGAATCAATTGGCAAGGATACCAAAGAGAAGATTTCTCGACACGACGTTACCTCTATTGTAAATGAATATGTCAGTATTAACAACCTTCTTCATCCTTCTAGAAAGAAACGAATTGTTTGCGATGATAGGCTCCATTCCATTTTCGGAAGGAAAACAATTGGCCGTATTAAAATCCATGACATGCTAGAGCCGCACTTTGCGGAGAACCAAGATGAATCAGATGATGACTTTTCTTACAGCTCTGACGAGACGGAGAATCTTTTAAATACCCTCAAACGGGAGAATGGTAAAACCCCAGGAAGAAAGCTCAGTCAGAAGACGAGAGTGCTGGTGAACCCAAATACTTCTTTTGCTTCCATGGTTCCTGGAAATATTAATCTTGTCTACTTGAGAAAGAGTTTAGTAGAGGATCTGGTTAAAGATCATGAAACCTTTGAGAGCAAGTTGATTGGTAGCTTTGTCAGGATTAGATCTGATCCCCATGACTATCTTCAGAAAAATACTCATCAGCTTGTGCAAGTTACAGGTAACCAAACTACCCTTTTTTATTCATGAACAGGGAATACGCTAGCTGGAATAATTTATCTCTACAAATATAAACTTCGTTGTAATCTTGTATACGTTTTATTTATATTCTTCATGGAGATAACTGCAAATTGTTGTTATAAAAACCATTGAAAGAATGTTACCGGAGTTAAATAGGTCCTACTATGTTATGTGCTTACCGTCCAACCATATGTCATCTCAGATAATTAATTCAGTGATCTTATTTTTTGACATTCTTTAGGGGTGAAGAAAGTTTCAATACCTGGTGATTTGGGTACAAGATTCCTTCTTCATGTTTCCAATGTGATGAAAGACGTCGGTATTGGCATGCTTTCAGATGAAAAGTTTTCTGAGGTAATTTCTCCACTGTCATTATTATTATTATAGATCAATATACTTTTTTTTTCCTTCAGTGTAATATAGAGTATGTATGGATTATACAGTGTAAACAAAACGATAAGATATTATTCTTCATAGAAGAAAAAGACCGTAAGAATTTGTATTGCTGACTAAAAATGATAGAATTTAAATGATTGTGATGTAAGAGGCTTTTGGAATTTTTGAACTTTTCTTGGTGTCTTTAGACCATTCTTTAGCTTTCTTATTCGTTGTTGTCATTCTTTCCCTAGCTTGTTCTGCATTTACCTTTTACCCGTATAAGTGAAGCTTGTTTACCAAGAGTTTGATATGCTTTAGTTACGGGCTCTTTGAGGCTATAAACAACTGTCTTTTAGGTTGTAAAAGGGTATTTTGTTAAAATAAAATTCAGAACTCTCCTTGAATTACTTTAGTTTGGTATTGAAGCCCCCATAAAATGGACATCCCATGGCTGGAAAGAAGGCTGCCAGCTACCTCGGAGTTGACAAAGATCAATCTGGTTTAGAGTCTACATTCCACCCTTGCGCTATCCCTCTAACTTCAACTCAAGGCTTTCTGTCGGTTGAAGAAACCCTTGGAGGTATGCAACATGTAATTACTTCCATGGCGATCCAACTAGAGAGAATCAAACTCAGATTGGGGCAATCATAGTTGAGATCATTAGTGAACTCCCATCAATCAATACAAGATCAAAGAAGGTTGATAAATCAAGAATTCGATTCTTCCTGTAAAGAAGAAGATTTTCTGCACCACGATATTTACCAGCTTTAGAAAATCAAGTGATCTGCAGGCAAGGGGACTCTGTACCCAATCTGTATTCAATTTGGAACATAAATGATTACAAGTTTAAGATTGATTTCCAAGCTATAATGGAATTTGGACGTTGAAGATTGTCTCAATTAGATCAAGAATGGTCAGACCTTTTTTTTTTTCTTTAATATACTTTTTATTACATGTCTGGAAGAAAAGAAGGTTAAGTTAGTAACATTAAAACTCAAAGAGGGAGCGTCCGCTTAGTGGGACCCACTCCTCAAGTCCAAAACAGTAGGCGAGGTTTCAGGAAGAGAACTATCAAGACTTGACCAATAAGATCCTAAAAGAAAACTTCTTGTCAAATAACTACGAACATATCCTTTTTAATCAATATCATCACTGCAAGCAAGTGTCAAGAACGGTGGGAGATCATACCAAAGAATTCAACTGCCTAGGCGTTTGTTGTCACTGTCATGCTTGTCCAAGGCGTGTTGCCTATGACCGCATGCCCGTTTCAAATCCCTTTTACATGCTTTCATCTTAAATAAGTCTTTATTACTTCATGTTGTGTCAATACGGTGGGTATGATTGGTCTCCAAAATCATGACTACACCCGCTAGGGCTAAAATGTCCCAAAATCATGTCTACGAGCATACACCGACATTGTCCGCAAAGTTCAAATTTCTCACGGCTGACTTGTTCGTTGGGTTAGAACAAGTGTCACACAATTGCTATCTCGTTGCCGCAAGAGTGCGATTGTGACAAGTGGTATCAGAACCAAGTCGGCTCCTTGGAAAGTAGTACACAACCATGTTAGTTGCAAAACAACTAGACAAGTCCCAGTTGACTAATTAGCTGAAATTGAAGAATAGTTACTCTGCATGAGTGAAGTTCTTGATGGAATGGGGCTTTTGGAATCGCACATGACTGAGATTGCCGCTAAAGCCGACAGGATTGATGAGATGGCAGGCCGCCTTGAGGAAATGTCTGTTCGCGAATTAATGTCTAGCGTCGAGGCCCTAGAAGACAAGGCCACAACTTCTGGTGGCTTCGAGCATAGGGATAGCTCGACGGGCTCTGTTGCTCGAATGGAAGAACGCATCGAGGGCTTAGACGATGCCCAACAAGCGATTGTTAAGATGGTTTCAAATTTGTTTGAAGATTTGAGAGCAACCCTTGGAGTGGTCAGGGCTGAAGTGGCAGATCTAAGCGCCAAATTAAACCTCACCATGAGAGCGGTGGGGTACCAAACCCCAGCTTGGGGTGTAATACAGTATAACAAGATAAAGGTCCTGAAGCCCAAACCCTTCTATGGGTTCGAGATGACAAGACTCTAGAGAATTTTATCTTCGATCTCGAACAATACTTTTGAGTCACAAATATCGTGGCAGAAGAAGCGAAGGTCACGTTGGCAATAATGCATCTAACCAACGATGCTAAGTTGTGGTGGAGGTCCAAGTACATGGACATTCAAGAGGGTCCATGTACCGTGGATACTCAGGATAGCTTGAAACAAGAACTCTGCTCACAGTTCTTCCTAGAGAATGTCGAGATAATCGCAAGAAGGAAGTTAAAAGAGCCAAGGCATACTGGTAGTATCCGAGACTACGTTAATCAGTTTTCTGGGCTTATGTTAGATATTCTTGATATGTTTGAGATAAACAAAGTCTTCAATTTTATTGAGGGGCTGAAGCTGTGGACGAAAATCAAGCTTTACGAACACAGAGTTCAAGACCTTTCCACGGCCTATGCTATCGCTAAACGATTATTCAATCTTAGTATCGATCAACCCCAAGAGATAGGGTGGAGCAGGAGTCTGCAAGTGATGGAAAAATGAAGGGCCGGTCAGAAGAGTCGGCCACAACAATTTCAAGATGTAGAGAGAGTTTTGATCAAATTGAGGTTAGATCAACCCCAAGGTCAAAACAACAAGAATAAAAAATTGGTGCGAAAATATTATGGACCAGTCAAAGTTATCCACAAGGTCAGAAAAGCATCATATAGGATCCAATTGCTCCCATGGATGCAGACTAGCCCTGGTTTCCACGTTAGTAACTTGAAATGTTACTATCTCGAACAAGAAGACATCAAGCAAAAAGAGGTGACACATCCTCACACATCCTCACACAAAGAAGAAAATTTTCAAGCGAAGAAAGTAGGAGAGACGCCAACAGTCAACAAACTGAGAAGTGGTTTTCAACAGTTTCTTGCAGATTGGAAAAGACTCCTCATTGCTGAGATCAGCTGGTAGCGCATCGAGGGACATAAAGTTAGCCTCAACCTACATCATTGAGTTCCCGAAGAGTCAGTTGACAAAGACGTCAACCAATTAAGTGGGAGAGGATGTTACGGTCATGCTTGTCCAAGGTGTGTTGCTTATGGCCGCATGTCGGATATCCTGATCATGCTTGTCTAGGACGTGTTGTCCATGGCCGCATGCCCGTTCCAAACCCCTTTGATGTGCTTTCATCTTAGATAAACTCTTACTATTTCATGTTGCGTCAATACGGGGGTGTATGACGAGTCACTAAAATCATTTCTATACCCGCGAGGGCTAAGATGCCCCAAAATGTACTATAGTCGGATGCGATTATTCGTCAATTCTTTCTACTCTGAGTTATAT